GGTTCCACTCTGGGTGAAACGGGCGTGGCAGATGTAGCATTCATATGGCTTCTCTCCCGAGTGTGTCCTCATGTGTCTCTTCAGCTTGTAGGTGTCTCTGCTGGCGTAGCTGCACAGACTGCACTGGAACGGACGCTCCCCGGTGTGGGAACGGATGTGCCGCTTCAGCTTGCTCACCTCCACACTGGCATAGTCACACATGGAGCACTTGAAGGGTTTCTCATGAGTGTGCTTGTAGCGACGATGTCGGACCAGCTCTCCGCTGGTCACAAAGGCCATGTCACAATCTTGACACTTGTGTGGTCTGGTACCTGTGTGTGTGTTGAGGTGGTTCCTCAGCAGGGTAACGGTCCTGAAGGCCCTTCCACACAGATGGCACTTGTGGGGCCTCTCGTCCGTATGGCTCTTCATGTGTCGGTCCAGGTTGGAGCGGCGGGGACAGGTGTAGCTACACAGCTCACACTGGAATGTTTTCTTCACACCCTTCTTCTTGATCTTGGTGGGTTTGGGGGGCTTCATGTTGCCCACCACCTTCTCCGCGTTGACCTCAGAGAGCATCCCCTCCTGCTGCTCCTCCTCAAAGTCATAGACAGACACATCCATGTTGTCTTTGTCCCCCTCTGTGTTGTAGGTTGAGGCTACTGCATAATACTCACATTTTCCTGATACCCATCATGAGGTTGCTACAGCCTATTCTACGAATGAAAGTTTATAACGTATGTAGGTGCACAGGTCGAGAGACAAATTGTAGTAATCAAGTGACAGACAGTGACACATTCAATACCGCCTTGCACACTCTTACCTGCATCTAGCTGATCTAGGGTGTAATCATTAGTCCAAACAGTTGCAAACAAGAGTTTCTATTGGATACATTCAGGTAGGTTTACCCCCGTTTCAGGTGACATATGGAATAGTTTTAAGAAGGTCATACCATTGATTATTTAGCTATTTGATTTTGAATTTTAGGACCCCTTTAGGTTTTACATGAAAAACAAAAGAATTGGCCTTAATTTTTTTGCCACAAAACTACCTTCTTACTTCCATTCATTTGTATGGGTTACCTTTAGACGAGTCCCATGGGGCTTGTGGCCAAACTGTTTTTGTGAGAAGACAGATTTTCGGGATGTCTCCTGGTCTGACAAACATTGCCGTAACTCTGCCACTTTCCACCGCAGATGCGGAAGGGCGACATAGGTACAGTTGAAGTCGGAAGTTTACATACACCTTAGCCAAATACATTTAAACTCAGTTTTTCACAATTCCTGACATTTAATCCTAGTAAAAATTCCCTGTTTTAGGTCAGTTAGGATCAGCAATTTATTTTAAGAATGTGAAATGTCAGAATAATAGTAGAGAAAATGATTTATTTCAGCTTTTATTTCTTTCATCACATTCCCAGTGGGTCAGAAGTTTACATACACTCAATTAGTATTTGGTAGAATTGCCTTTAAATTGTTTAACTTGTGTCAAACGTTTTGGGTAGCCTTCCACAAGCTTCCCACAATAAATTGGGTGAATTTTGGCCCATTCCTCCTGACAGAGCTGGTGTAACTGAGTCAGGTTTGTAGGCCTCCTTGCTCGCACACACTTTTTCAGTTCTGCCCACACATTTTCTATAGGATTGAGGTCAGGGCTTTGTGATGGCCACTCGAATACCTTGACTTTGTTGTCCTTAAGCCATTTTGCCACAACTTTGGAAGTATGCTTGGGGTCATTGTCCATTTGGAAGAGCTATTTGCGACCAAGCTTTAACTTCCTGACTGATGTCTTGAGATGTTGCTTCAATATACAGTGGGGAGAACAAGTATTTGATACACTGTCGATTTTGCAGGTTTTCCTACTTACAAAGCATGTAGAGGTCTGTAATTTGTATCATAGGTACACTTCAACTGTGAGAGACGGAATCTAAAACAAAAATCCAGAAAATCACATTGTATGATTTTTAAGTAATTAATTTGCATTTTATTGCATGACATAAGTATTTGATACATCAGAAAAGCAGAACTTAATATTTGGTACAGAAACCTTTGTTTGCAATTACAGAGATCATACGTTTCCTGTAGGTCTTGACCAGGTTTGCACACACTGCAGCAGGGATTTTGGCCCACTCCTCCATACAGACCTTCTCCAGATCCTTCAGGTTTCGGGGCTGTTGCTGGGCAATACGGACTTTCAGCTCCCTCCAAAGATTTTCTATTGGGTTCAGGTCTGGAGATTGGCTAGGCCACTCCAGGACCTTGAGATGTTTCTTACGGATCCACTCCTTAGTTGCCCTGGCTGTGTGTTTCGGGTCGTTGTCATGCTGGAAGACCCAGCCACGACCCATCTTCAATGCTCTTACTGAGGGAAGGAGGTTGTTGGCCAAGATCTCGCGATACATGGTCCCATCCATCCTCCCCTCAATATGGTGCAGTCGTCCTGTCCCCTTTGCAGAAAAGCATCCCCAAAGAATGATGTTTCCACCTCCATGCTTCACGGTTGGGATGGTGTTCTTGGGGTTGTACTCATCCTTCTTCTTCCTCCAAACACGGCGAGTGGAGTTTAGACCAAAAAGCTCTTTTTTTTGTCTCATCAGACCACATGACCTTCTCCCATTCCTCCTCTGGATCATCCAGATGGTCATTGGCAAACTTCAGACGGGCCTGGACATGCGCTGGCTTGAGCAGGGGGACCTTGCTTGCGCTGCAGGATTTTAATCCATGACGGCGTAGTGTGTTACTAATGGTTTTCTTTGAGACTGTGGTCCCAGCTCTCTTCATGTCATTGACCAGGTCCTGCCGTGTAGTTCTGGGCTGATCCCTCACCTTCCTCATGATCATTGATGCCCCACGAGGTGAGATCTTGCATGGAGCCCCAGACCGAGGGTGATTGACCGTCATCTTGAATTTCTTCCATTTTCTAATAATTGCGCCAACAGTTGTTGCCTTCTCACCAAGCCGCTTGCCTATTGTCCTGTAGCCCATCCCAGCCTTGTGCAGGTCTACAATTGTATCCCTGATGTCCTTACACAGCTCTCTGGTCTTGGCCATTGTGGAGAGTTTGATTGAGTGTGTGGACAGGTGTCTTTTATACAGGTAACGAGTTCAAACAGGTGCAGTTAATACAGGTAATGAGTGGAGAACAGGAGGGCTTCTTAAAGAAAAACTAACAGGTCTGTGAGAGCCGGAATTCTTACTGGTTGGTAGGTGATCAAATACTTATGTCATGCAATAAAATGCAAATTAATTACTTAAATCATACAATGTGATTTTCTGGATTTTTGTTTTAGATTCCGTCTCTCACAGTTGAAGTGTACCTATGATAAAAATGACAGACCTCTACATGCTTTGTAAGTAGGAAAACCTGCAAAATCGGCAGTGTATCAAATACTTGTTCTCCCCACTGTATCCACATAATTTTCCTTCCTCATGATGCCATTCCTTGAAATACATCCACAGGTACATCTCCAATTGACTCAAATGATGTCAATTAGCCTATCAGAAGCTTCTAATGCCATGACATCATTTTCTGGAATTTTCCAAGCTGTTTAAAGACACAGTCAACTTAGTGTATGTAAACTTCTGACCCACTGGAATTGTGATACAGTGAATTATAAGTGAAATAATCTGTCTGTAAACAATTGTTGGAAAAATTACTTGTGTCATGCACGAAGTCGATGTCCTAATCGACTTGCCAAAACTATAGTTTGTTAGCAAGAAATTTGTGGAGCGGTTGAAAACTTCCGACTTCAACTGTAGATGCGGTGGATTGTGATGCAGCCTGTGTAAAAAATATCTCTAGCTTGGACTGACGGATTTTGATGAGATTTTTTGATTATGTTACTTAGAATGACGCACCGGTGCATCAACAGAATCTAGGGGGTTTTAAGCAAGTGTTTTTCATTAGGCAACAGGCATGCTGTCTACAGTGGTGGAAAAAGTACCCAATTGTCATACTTTTAATAGAAAATGACCCAAGTAAAGGTGAAAGTAACCCAGTAAAATACTACTTGAGTAAAAGTCTCAACGTATTTAGTTTTAAAGATACTTAAGTATCAAAAGTAAACGTATAAATCATTTCAAATTGCTTATTTTAAGCAAACCAGACGGCACAATTTTGTGGTTTATTTATTTAATTACGGATTGCCAAGGGCGCTCTCCAACACTCAGACATCATTTACAAACTAAGCATTTGTGTTTAGATCAGAGGCAGTAGGGATGACCAGGGATGTTCTCTTGGAAAGTGGTGAATTTAACACTTTTCCTGTCCTGCTAAACGAGTACTTTTGGGTGTCAGGGAAAATGTATGGAGTAAAAAGTACATTATTTTCTTTAGGAATGTAATGAAGTATAAGTGAAGTTGTCAAAAATATAAATAGTAAAGTAAAGTACAGATACCCCCAAAAACTATTTAAGTAGTACTTTAAAGTATTTTTACTTAAGTACTTTACACAACTGGCTGTCTGACAGTCAGTCTGTGTTTCAGCTTACTTTATTTTATACCAAGTAGATTTTCTACGGTTTAGTTTTGCCTCTGATGTAGGATATTCATAAGATTCACCCATATATTTTGTTTGGCAGCTGAAAATTATTATCGCCAGCACGGCAAGTTGAACCCTTCATCATGAGCAAAGAAAAGTGTTGAAATGCCTCACAAAGAGAAGTTTGCATATCTGAGGGCTGATCTCTGGAGCTAATGGTCCCTAACATAAACACACCAAGTCCTTACAAGCAATTATTGCCTTCATAAAAACGCCCCTGGTTTCTTTCCAGCATTTAATTGCGGTCAAACAAATGACTAGCAGGGTTCAGAATGCTCTTCTTTACGGCATATGTGTGTGTGTGCATGTGTGTGTGTGTGTGGTAATTTTGGGGGCTTGAAGGCGTTGGGTGCATGTGTGCTGCATTAAGTTGTGTGTGTGCTGTAAGAGGGTGTATGCTATTGTGTGTGGGTTTGTGTGTCTATGTGTTACTCAGCACTGAAACAATACGAAGGCATGAGTGAGACAGACGTATGATGTCATGGCGGCTGCCAGTGGGCAGGATGTGTTTAAGGTGGGTAATCATCGCTCCACTCTGCACACCTCCAGTGTGGGAAGTCCTCCGTTGCTCCAGAGACCTCCACCAATCTTTCCAAGGACAAACACATTGGGTAACACTGTAAAAACACAGCTTTGGAAACCTCCAGGAAATCTTTGGCTCTGCCCCACCACCATTATTCTGGAAACTCTGAGAGAGTCAGCTGTTTCAGGGCAGGGTGAGATATCGTGGATCTCAGCGGTGGCCCTTCAGAAGGTTCATTTAAACTATTGGGACTTATAAGGCCTAGCCTACTCTCAGAATGTCCATTCATATAAATGCTCTATTAAAGCTTTATCATTACCTCCAGAGTATAGTACTTTACGTATAGTGGTTAAATGTATTCTCCTATAGTGAGGTGGATTATGGATAACATACACTGAGTGTACAACACAGGAACACTTTCCGAATATTGAGTTGCACACCCTTTTGCCCTTAGAACAGCCTCAATTCGTCAAGGCATGGACTCTACAAGGTGTCGAAAGCGTTCCACAGGGCTGCTGGCCTATGTTGACTGCAATCAATGCCCGGCTATGAAAAGCCAAGTGACATTTACTCCTGATGTACTGACCTGTTGCAACCTCTACAACCACTGTAATTATTATTTGACCCTGCTGGTAATCTATGAACGTTTGAACATCTTGAAGAACAATCTGGCCTTAAATGGCCATGTACTCTTATAATCTCCACCCGGCACAGCCAGAAGAGGACTGGTCACCCCTCAGAGCCTGGTTCCTCTCTAGGTTTCTTCCTAGGTTCCTGACTGTGCAACAGGTCAGTACCTCAGAAGTAAATGTCAGTTGGCTTTTCATACCCGAGCATTCAGAGGTCGAGACAGCAGGTGCGGTAGAGAGAGAGAGTCGAAAACAGCAGATCCGGGACAAGGTAGCACGTCCGGTGAACAGGTTAGGGTTCCCTAGCCTGCTGGCAGAACAGTTGAAACTGGAGCAGCAGCATGACCAGGTGGACTGGGGACAGCCAGGAGTCATCAGGCCAGGTAGTCCTGAGGCATGATCCTAGAGCTCAGGTCCTCCGGGAGGGGAGGGAGATAGAGAGAATTAGAGGGAGCATACTTCAATTCTCACAGGACACCAGATAAGACAGGAGAATTACACCAGATATAACAGACTGACCCTAGCCCCCCGGCACATAGACTATTGCAGCATAGATACTGGAAACTGAGACAGGGGTGGGTCGGGGGACACTGTGGCCCAGTCCGACGATACCCCCGGACAGGGCCAACCAGGCAGGATATAACCCCACCCACTTTGCCAAAGCACAGCCCTCACACCACTAGAGGGATATCAACAGACCACCAACTTACTACCTCGAGACAAGGCTGAGTATAGCCCACGAAGATCTCCTCCACCGCATGAGCCCGAGGGGGCGCAAGACCGGACAGGAAGATCCCGTCTGTGACTCAACCCACTCAAGTGACGCACCCCTCCTAGGGACGGCATGGAAGAGCACTAGTAAGCCAGTCACTCAGCCACCGTAATAGGGTCAGAGGCAGAGAATCCCAGTGGAGAGAGGGGAGCCGGCCAGGCAGAGACAGCAAGGGCAGTTCGTCGCTCCAGTGCCTTGCCATTCACCATTGCACCCCTGGGCCAGACTACACTCAATCATAGGACCTACTGAAGAGATGAGTCTTCAGTAAAGACTTAAAGGTTGAGACTAAGTCTGTGTCTCTCACATGGATAGGCAGATCATTCCATAAAAATTGGAGCTCTATAGGAGAAAGCCCTGCCTCCAGCTGTTGGCTTAGAAATTCTAGGGACAATAAGGAGGCCTGCATCTTGTGACCATAGCGTACGTGTAGGTATGTACAGCAGGACCAAATCGGAGAGATAGGTAGGAGCAAGCCCATGTAATGCTTTGTAGGTTAGCAGTAAAACCTTGAAATCAGCCCTAGCTTTAACAGGAAGCCAATGTAGAGAGGCTAGCACTGGAGTAATATGATCACATTTTTTGGTTCTAGTCAGGATTCTAGCAGCCATGTTTAGCACTAACTGAAGTTTATTTAGTGCTTTATCCGGGTAGCCGGAGAGTAGAACACAGCAGTAGTCTAATCTAGAAGTGACAAAAGCATGTATTAGCTTTTCTGCATAATTTTTGGACAAAAGGTTTTTCAGATTTTTGCAACGTTACGAAGATGGAAAAAAAGCTGTCCTTGAAATATTATTGATATGTTCGTCAAAAGAGAGATCAGAGTCAAGAGTAACGCCGAGGTCCTTCACAGTTAACATATCTTTGTTTATTGGGACCTAGAACTAGCATCTCTGTTTTGTCTGTTTAAAAATAAAAAGTCCTTATGTCTGAAACACAGGCTTCCAGGGTAGGACATTTTGGGGCTTCACCATGTTTCATCTAAATGTACAGCTGTGTGTCATCTGAAAGTTGACATTGTGTTTCCAAATGACATCACCAAGAGGTAGAATATATAGTGAAAACAATAGTGGTCCTAAAACGGAACCTTGAGGAACACCGAAACTTACAATTGATTTGTCAGAGGACAAACCATCCACAGAGACGAACTGATATCTTTCGGACAGAAAGATTTAAACCAGGCAAGATCTTGTCCATGTAGACCAATTAGGGTTTCTAATCTCTCCAAAAGAATGTGGTGATCAATGGTGTCAATAGCAGCACTAAGGTCTAGGAGCACGAGGACAGATGCAGAGCCTTGATCTGACGCCATTAAAAGGTAATTTACCACCTTCACGAGTGCAGTCTCAGTGCTATGATGGGGTCTAAAACCAGACTGAAGCATTTCGTATACATTATTTGTCTTCAGGAAGGCAGTTAGTTGCTGCGCAACAGCTTTTTCGAAAAATGTTTGAGAGGAATGGGAGATTCGATATAGGCCGATAGTCTTTTACATTTTCCGGGCGAAGGTTGAGCTTTTTCAACAGAGGCTTTATTACTGCCACTTTTAGTGAGTTTGGGCACACATCCGGTGGATAGGGAGCCATTTATTATGTTCAATATAGGAGGGCCAAGCACAGGAATAGCTCTTTCAGTAGTTTAGTTGGAATAGGGTCCAGTATGCAGCTTGACGGTTTAGAGGCCGTGACTATTTTCATGAATGTGTCGAGATACAGGATTAAAAAACTTGAGTGTCTCCATTGATCCTAGGTCCTGGCAGTTCTGTGCAGACTCAGGACAACTGAGCTTTGGAGAAATATGCAGATTCAAAGTCGAGTCCGTAATTAGCTTTCTAATGATCATGATCTTTTCATCAAAGAAGTTCATGAATTTATCACTGCTGAAGTGAAAGCTATCCTCTCTTGTTGAATCCTGCTTTTGAGTTAGCTTTGCGACAGTATCAAAAATACATTTTGGATTGTTCTTATTCTCCTTAATTAGGTTGGAAAAATAGGATGATCGAGCAGCAGTGAGGGCTCTTCGATATTGCACGGTACTGTCTTTCCAAGCTATTCGGAAGACTTCCAGTTTGGTGGAGCGCCATTTCCATTCCAATTTTCTGGAAGCTTGCTTCAGGGCTCGGATATTTTCTGTATACTAGGGAGCAAATTTCTTGTGCCAATTTTTTTCTCCATCTAGGTTATTATGCAAGGTTAAATTAAGATCCTCAGTTAGGTGGTTAACCGATTTTTGTACTCCGATGTCCTTGGGTAGGTGGAGGGAGTCTGGAAGGGCATTTAGGAATCTTTGGGTTGTCTGAGAATTTATAGCACAGCTTTTAATGATCCTTGGTTTGAGTATGAGCCGATTATTTGTTGCGATTGTAAACTTAATAAAATGGTGTTCCGATAGTCCAGGATTATGAGGAAAAACATTTAGATCCACAATATTTATTCCACGGGACAAAACTAGATCTAGGGTGTGACTGTGGCAATGAGTAGGTCCGGAGACATGTTGGACAAAACCCACTGAGTCGATGATGGCTCCGAAAGCCTTTTGGAGTGGGTCTGTGGACTTTTCCATGTGAATATTAAAGTCACCAAAAATTAGAATATTATCTGCCATGACTACAAGGTCCGATAGGAATTCAGGGTGCTCAATGAGGAATGCTGTATACGGCCCAGGAGGGCTGTAAACAGTTGCAAAGTGATTAAGTAGACTGCATAGATTTCATGACTAGAAGCTCAAAAGACGAAAACACAGTCATTTATTTTTTCTACATTTAAATTTGCTATCGTAAATGCTAGCAACACCTCCGCCAGTGCGGGATGCACAGGGGATATGGTCACTAGTGTAACCAGGAGGAGAGGCCTCATTTAACACAGTAAATTCATCAGGCTTGAGCCATGTTTCAGTCAGGCCAATCACATCAAGATTATGATCAGTGATTAGTTAATTGACTATGACTGCCTTGGAAGTGAGGGATCTAACATTAAGTAACCCTATTTTGAGATGTGAGATATCACAATCTCTTTCAATAATGACAGGAATGGAGGAGGTCTTTTTTCCAGTGAGATTGCTAAGGCGAACACCGACATGTTTTGTTTTGCTCAACTTAGATTGAGGCACAGACACTGTCTCAATGGGGATAGCTGAGCTGACTACACTGACTGTGCTAGTGGTAGACTCCACTAAGCTGGCAGGTTGGCTAACTGCAATGCTTCCCACAGTTGTGTCAAGTTGGCTGGATGTTCTTTGGGTGGTGGACCATTCTTGATACACACGGGAAACGAGCGTGAAAAACCCAGCAGCGTTGCAGATCTTGACACACTCAAATCGGTGCGCCTGGCACCTACTACTATACCCTGTTCAAAGGCACTTACATATTTTGTCTTTCCCATTCACCTTCTGAATGACAAACATACACAATGTCTCAATTGTCTCAAGGCTTAAAAATCCTTCTTTAACCTGTCTTCTCCCCTTCATCTACACTAATTGACGTGTATTGACATCAAGGTGACATCAATAAGGGATCATAGCTTTCACCTGAATTCACCTGGTCAGTCAAATTTTTTTAATTTTTTTATTTATTTAATTTTTTTAGTCATTTAGCAGACGCTCTTATCCAGAGCGACTTACAGTTAGTGAGTGCATACATTATATATATTTTTCATACTGGCCCCCCATGGGAATCGAACCCACAACCCTGGCGTTGCAAACGCCATGCTCTACCAACATCCCTGCCGGCCATTCCCTCCCCTACCCTGGACGACGCTGGGCCAATTGTGCGCCGCCCCATGGGTCTCCCGGTCGCGGCCGGCTACGACAGAGCCTGGATTCGAACCAGGATCTCTAGTGGCACAGCTACTGCGCCACTCGGGATGACTATGTCTATGTCATGGAAATAGCATGTTTTGTACTCTCAGTGTATTGAAGATTATGACATTATGACCATAGTGTTTCTGCAGGGTGTATGTGTGCATGTGCATTGGATTGGCTGCTGTGGTTTTCCAGTCAGTGCTTTTAACAGTGCTTTTCTTGTGGTTAGCACATGTGTGCAATTTAAACATAGAGCCAAATTGAGCCTTGAGTGTGGTTTTCCCCCCACATTGGCACTTTATGCAGACTGATGTTTAGATCAATCAGCTCTCTCATGGAAGCAGGAGTTTCCTATTTTTGACACAGTGCTTCCTAGATGTGGGCTGAGCAATGTGGATCAGAAGACTTTGATTCAGCGACAGTTTTGACAAAATTAAACCATGGACTGGATTCCGATCTGATTGTAGTCACAGCAGTGAGTGTTTTGGCACACTTGCATCCCCACTGTTTCAAAATACCAGGGGTTGTGGGGAGAAAAGGGAGGTGCCTTTAACCATCCAGCGTCAGTGTTAGTTGTGCAGCTCATAATTGGTGAGGTTAGCCATTGAAAAAAGCTGATCCGGGATGAGTTGGTATCAGTAGTGAGTAACCTCTTCCCCCATCTCCTTTCATCAGCTGAGCTGGATCAGGACGTCCTGTCTTCTCAGCACAACAGGAAATTCCGCTTTGACTTGTCCCGGATCCCAGAGGGAGAAGTTGTCTCCGCTGCAGAGTTCCGAATCTATAAGGACTACATCAGAGAACGCTATGAGAACGAGACCTTCCATGTGAGCGTGTACCAGGTGCTACAGGAGCTCCCTGACAGGTGACGCCTCATCCATTAATCTTTGTGTGTGTGTGTGTGGCCTTATAAAACGGTATACTACTCCCTGAAACAGCAGAGACGCCACCTTGAACATATAGAGCACCCCCACAAACACCACCCTCAATGCCCACACCTCCACCATTCACTTAATCCCCCTTCTCCATTACCTAACACCCCTCCCTCCACCCAACCCCTCTCTTCTTGGAGGACAGACCACACTAGGCATTTTGATTGTAGTGAACAATAGTTGGATTTCTCCAACTAGTAAAAACACCCCCTTCTCTCTAACACACACACACACACAGCTTGTCATGCTAGGTGACATCAGAGCCCAGTCGTGTGTAGGCATGGCCTGTCCCACAGCGGTGACAGTGAGGCTATGAAGGTGCTGAGAACAAAAGCATTGTCATTCAGAGACTCGTATGCCTTTCGTACAGACAAGGCAGCAAGACAAAGAGACAGTCTGAGTAGTAAGCCTGGGGGCCTGAAACTCAATCTGTAAACAAAGCCATTGTCTGTGAGATATGCCCCAATCAGTCTGGGAATTTTCATCTGTGATTTAAGAGATAGCTCTTTTAATAATGGCTAACTTTGTTGTGTATCTAACTGTGAGACTGTATGTGCTGTGTATCTAATGTTAGTAGTCTTTGTGCCCCGTAGTGAGGAGTACCTGTTCCTTCTGGACACGCGGGTGGTGTGGGCTGCAGAGGAGGGCTGGCTTGTGTTTGACATCACGGCCACCAGTTACCAGTGGGTGGTGAACCCAGACCAGAACCTGGGCTTGCAGCTGGCTCTGGAGAGCATGGATGGTGAGTCACTGTCAGAGAGTTATAAGGGTAAGGGTACTGTATGGCCACTGGTCCAACTGGTACACACCCACCACATAAGATTGAACTGAAGCATACCAAAATCAAAGATTATGTATTATATTGACAAGATATTCGAGTGACCGCTCTAACAATGGAAATACATATCCTCAATGATGGAAGGGAGGAGAGATCAGATGGGACCATTCTAGCTAATGAGAGGGCAGATACGCGTGTGAACAACAGGCACAACTAAGTTGTTTCTCTCAAAGTTGCCGGAATGCCACGTGCATCCACTTATATCAGTACATTTGTAACAGCCTAAACTTCTATTCGATAAAATAAGCCTCACGTAATTCGACACTCTCTCATAGACCTCCATTCGAAAAAGGGCTTATCTCACACGGACAGATTTTGGGCAGAGTAAATTGTCTGGCTTCACCTCTCCCTCTCTGCCAAAATGTACCCTGGACTGAAGTGTGCATGTCTTTCTGTCTTCCCCTACAGGTCAGAGTGTGAACCCCAGGCTAGTGGGGCTGCTGGGGGGCAGTGGGCCCCAGGACAAGCAGCCCTTCATGGTGGCCTTTTTCAAGGCAACCGAGGTTCGCCTCCGCAGCGTCCGTTCTGCCCACGGCCACAAGGGGCGCAACCCCAACCGCTCCAAAAAACCCAAGACTGCCCAGGACGCACTGAAGGTTGCTGAGGCTGCAGCAGGTACACAAATGGAGCACCCACTTGGAGCACAATGAATCAGTCATCTAGCCACTAGATCCATACACAGACATCATTTGATAAACTTGTTACACAATGATAGAAAAATGGCTGCTCCTTTGACATGTTAGAGTACTTTGTGTTAATAAAAGCATTCAGGCTATGGATAATAGATAGCAGAGAACATCTCTAATTTGGAGTGTTTAAGGGACAGTGCTCACAGTTGATTGTGTTGATTCATCTGTATGATGTTAATTTCCCCCTTTGTCTTTCAGAGAACCTCAGCACAGACCCGAAACAGGGCTGTAAGAAGCATGAGCTGTATGTCAGCTTCAGAGATCTGGGATGGCAGGTACAGTACCATGACTCCTCCTATCACACACGTTCTGTTCTGTACTGTAATGATCTGAGCACATCCTCCACTTTCTCTGTTCACCCACTTAGATAGGTGTTTGACTTGACTAGATTCAATGGCATCTGCATCTCCGTTGGTTGGATGTACTATTGTTGTATGAGTAATATGACTCATTCCTTTTTTCAATTGTCCTCTCAGGACTGGATCATTGCACCAGAGGGCTATGCAGCGTACTACTGCCAGGGCGAATGTGCCTTTCCCTTGAACTCCTACATGAACGCCACCAATCATGCCATTGTGCAGACTCTGGTAAGAATATTAAAAGTTTTCATGAATCATATCATCATATACATTTCTGAGGCGGTTGAATATGGCATTTACTCAGGGTTTCACTGTAGGGTCACTAGCTTCATTGTAAATGTAACCATTCAGCAGCTGATTGAAATTCTTAAATTCATTTTGTGAAATCAAAGCACTCTTTGATGTCCTACATCCTGTAAGTATCAACACACATTTTCCCACACTCTTGAATCTTTCTTATTTGTGCATGATTTCCCTGATAATGGTGCTATATTCTATCTCCCCCAGGTCCACTTCATAAACCCAGAGACAGTGCCCAAACCCTGTTGTGCCCCCACCCAGCTCCATGGCATCTCAGTCCTCTACTTTGACGATAGCTCCAACGTCATCCTGAAGAAGTACCGCAACATGGTGGTCAGAACCTGCGGCTGTCACTGACCGCCATCAGACCTCCCCTTCCCAGGATACACAGGGGCTAGTGAAGAAAGATAAGGAAGAGGAGGAAGAGGCGACGGTGCAGGGAAACTAATTTACTGCCTGATCTATAAGGACCTGCTGCTTCAGGACTTGCAGGAAGACCAACTTCCTTTATTATTGACTGCAAACTGACAAGTGCATAAATTATTAGCAAAGATGTTCTACTTTATTGCCTTGGTGCATTGAAACAAGTAGAGCCATACTGCCTTAGTGCAACTGCAAAGAGGATCTTTGGCATCTGGACTGTATACACTACATGGTGCATGACAGAGGATCAAGGATGCTCGTCTAGAGACCCCAATAGAATTCCCAGTCAGTACCATGGAGGAATGAAACATCACAGACACTGGACTGTCATCCATTTATTTATAAACTCATTTTACTTCAGTGATCAAAGAAAGGAAAGTATTGATGAATTCAAAAAGACAACCCCCAGGACAGAGGCATGAGACTCAGATGAAATGCTAGAGATGCTCAAAAACTGATACAAATAGAGAATGTAGCAATTTTTTGTTCATCCATGAGCAGACATTTTACGATGTGTCTTTTAAAAAGATAAATCCTGTTTGGACTTGTTCTGCTGTGTGCACTCAGCGTCTCTGTGTAAAAAACATTCTGGTAAAACTTTTGCATATGATTGCATTAAACGGTCTATAAAAATGTGTTTACTTTGACACATGATTATTTATTTTACATCATACATTTTTTTCACAAGCAGCTGGGTTTACTTAGATATCGATGAGAACAAAATGAGGTCTATTTTTCCTTTGAACAACACATAGGTGTTGGTGTAGTTTGCAGAGCGGAGGTCAGGTGTAAGACATCTGGCTGGCTGTATGCAGATTCAGAGGCTGCTGCTGTGAGGAATAACAGGGCTGACGTTAAATACGAGACTGTGTGGGATTGATAAAGCAGGCCCTGTTGGGTTAAGTTTCCTGGAGGTGGGGGCACCGACATATATCACTAAGCTCTGCACAACACAACAGAGGCATGTGGTTCCAGAGATGCCAAGGTTTTTGCCCACAAGAGACAGATCGAAAGAGCTCTGAGCTATCATTCAGTTTCAGCTGCCTTTTGATGTCCTTCCAGATCTGCAGGTGGGCGAATCGAGGCCGTATTTTCTGTCAAAACTAAATGTCAGAAAACAGCAACAAAATATACCAGAATTGTCAGACATAGCAGGTGCAATACATTTATATCATTTGGCCAGAAAAGCATTCTCACATACTGACAGCCAAAACATGGTAACTGAAAAAGGTGATGGCTTTATGTACGATATCATAGGTTCTATAAGCATATGTAGATAAATATTGTGAACATCATCTGGTGAGGTAAAGCATAGAAAATGTACTTTAAATGTTTACATTTCTTAATCAAAACAAACATTTCCTAAATCAGTTGCAGTTATAATTTCTGAACATAAAATATTGGCATACTGTAGCAAGAGGTAAGAACAGACAAACGCCAATGAAGGACACCAGTGTATAATGTAATGCAAACAACAGTCAGCTATACAGCACACAGGGAGCCATTCACACTCTGAGACATACTACAACATTCACTGTTCTACATACAGAAAACAGTTGTCAATTAAAGTGGCTAATATAGAGGTAGCAAATAATAAAATATATTCCCCCTGAATGATGTCATTGATATTTTATTTATTCAAGTTTTAATAGGGTGACACGTTTAAAATTGCATTTCTAAAGTTGGCTAAAGGTAATATGTTGTGCCTGACATATTCTGTCTCTCACATCTCTGATAATCCATGGCTTTTACACAAATACCTGCAATTGTCCTTTGCTTACTATCCTTATTTATATTTCTTTCCTCCTTTATCATAATTATTCTTAATACAAAACAGACGAGGAAAAGAGACAGACAGTCACGAAGAAAGGGATGGAAAGAATGTGAGGTTGAGATAAAGGTAATAAAACGAAAGTTATGCTTGGCTTGGCTTTGTTGGCTCCCTCTCCATAATGGGAACGGTGTTTATCATTATCAGTACGGGCAGTTGGTGCCTGGGCCACACAGCTCAGGGGCTGACCAACGCCTCTTCCGTGCTGGGCCCAGCCCCCCTCCCTGCCCTTCTATTGGCCTGTCTGGAGCAGGGCGAAGGGGAGAATGTGGACAGGACGTTTGTAGAGGCTTATGCCCTTCATGTCTCCTTCTGGCTGGGGTGCCAGGCTCCTGGGGCTGGGTGGGTAGGGGGGCAGAGGGTGATGTAGGTATAAGAGCCAGGCAGACATCACCAACACTGAGCTGATGGCAGCGGAGGCCACACAGACGGGCTGTTCTTGGGGGGCAGCAAGAGGACCAGCCACGCCCTCGCACAAAGAACGGGTACTCCACATACACATCCAGAAACTCCTGTGATGAGAGATACTGTTAGTCTTGATAATGCAGTACCTCTCTTTGTCCACTAAGTGGTGGTAGGGTTCTGCAATTGGGGATTGGCATCAATGCGTACATTTTCAACATTTACATTTTAGTCATTTAGCAGACGCTCTTATCCAGAGCGACTTACAGTTAGTGAGTGCATAAATAAAAAATACTGGAATCGAACCCACAACCCTGGCGTTGCAAATGCCATGCTCTACCAACTGAGCTACATCCCTGCCGGCCATTCCCTCCCCTACCCTGGACAAATTGTGCACCGCCCCATGGGTCTCCCGGTCGCGGCCGGCTACGACAGAGCCTGGATTCGAACCAGGATCTCTAGTGGCACAGCTAGCACTGCAATGCAGTGCCTTAGACCACTGCGCCACTCGGGAGTTATGATGAGGGATACTTTAGGAATGTAAATCATTTGCATTTTATTTACATTACTTTATGATGTAGACTGATCAAGAAGTGTACCCTTTGCAAATATGTATGATATCTTGTATATTGAATTCCATGTTATAAATTATGGAAATGTAAGTAGCCAAAAACACACTGACCAAAAACACACTGACCCTGTCATGAGCCTGTGTGATGTAATGATGTAGTAGACTCAGTAGGATCAGGACCAGCTCACCTGAGTGTGTTCCTCGTGTAGGAGGATGAGGAGGCGGGAGAGGGATGGGGCTGTGGAGGGGGAGATGTGCTGCACAGTGCAGTAGCTCAGACGTAGCGCTGGACAGGCCTCTGCGCCGATCAGGAAGTCTTCTGTCTGCAAATCCTCCACCCTCCTCAGTCGCCCGTCTCTGAGCTCGATTAGAGAGCCTGCCGCAAAGTGAGGGAGCAACCAGGGCAGCTGGTCAGAAGAGGTGGAGGGGTAAGAAGAGTGATGGGTGGAGAGAGGGGGAGACACTCCTACTTTTTCTGTTACTCCCACAGTCCAGTATTTCTCTGTTGACTGAACAGTAAGTGATGGTCTTATGGGAGATTGTGCTGCAAACTCCAAAGGACTTTGCCCTGAAGCAGGATACTTGGGGGCTGTGGAATGGTGTGTGTAGACCAGTTCAGGGTGGTGGTGTAGGTCCTTGTAGGCAGTAGGAGATAGATCAGTGTTCAGGGGGGCAGAACCTGCCTCTGAGCTGGGTTGTGGCTGGTGTACCCCCTGTTTCTCTCTTCTCAGATATGGGCCCCTCTGTCTGTTTTGCTGTTCGGTGTGTGAATTTAACTTATCCCTCATTTTTGTATTAAAGTGCCAACTGTACCCTGTTTCCACCCCACTGGGCTCCTCTGTAGGCTGGGCCATATTTCTGCAGATAGAGGGACAGCGTGGGTGTTCTGAGGGATGCGTGGAGCGGTGATGGAAAATATAGGGAACATGCCAGCCTGGCGGCACTGCAGCCCAATCTCTGTAATAGTGCTTCCTCCACTCAGCCCAGCCATGGCTATCCCTGATAGGAGAGGAGAGATGGTTGGCTCTGGTGGTGGCAGCTGTGGTGGGGGACTGGGTCCAGGGCTGGTATAGCGGGGGCACAGATGCATGAGTAGGTGGGAGCAGGTCTGAGTGGGATGCAATGTAGGTCTTGACTACATTATGGCTCTTGCAAGGGAAGGGGACCTTGAATGTGACAGCAGGAAGCTGCTCTGAGAGGCCTGGTCTGGGGTCCCTCTTCTTGGGCGGTAGGCTCTCTCTGCCTGGGCCTGGGGTTGGTGTGGTGCTCATTGGTTCACCCGGTCGTCACATATACTGACACTTCTCTTCCCCGGCCTACAGGTTGTTGTGGAGAGGTTAAGTCACATAAGCCTCCTGTGAAAGAGGCAGGCTAAGGGATCTTGTCACTCCCTGGTGAAACATCACTGACAGAGAGGTCACAGGTGGTCTCAGTGTCAACGCTCCAGTCTGAAAAAAGACAGGAAGGTGTTTGTTTCACATATGTTATAATTTAACCATCATCCTTATGTCAAAAGCATAAGAGGTAGGTACACTAAGATAATTTTATACATTTTCTAGCCTCATATTACAGGCTTTTCAGCTTCTAGTCATATGGCTTTTGATGATACATTTCGTAAACCATACTTCACTATGTACTCATACCCCCTCTCTCCCTCTTATCCCTCTTCCTAGCTCTCTCCCTCCCTCTAACATCTGCTCCATAAGTGATAGACAGAGACTTTCTCTGCCCTTTATCCCTCGCTCTCTGATACCCCTGTGGAGTAACAGATGGTAACCATGAACCTTGAAGTCTCATCGCTAATTTCTCCATTGCCTCGAAATTGGAGCCTTTCAAACCATAGACTGTTGCATTGAGAGTGTGATTGACAGCTGAAGTCTGAATCAGTAGAACACTTTACTTTTACCGGATCTCCCTCACAACACTGCCCAGCTAGGACATTCGGTTCTGGGCAGGAAGCCATATGTTTCCTGACAAGTAAAACGGAAGGTTTTTAAAACGTTCTAAGAACGTAAGTGAAAAATTTGCATGTTCTTGGAATGTACATTTTTAGGTTGCAGGGAGGTTCTGAGAACGTTTTACTATGGTTCCCTGAACGTTTTCCTGGGAGGTTTTGTTAAAGTTCTGAGAACGGAAATTATAGGTTATGTAGAGGTTTTTTAATAACTTCCTTAAAACTTTCACAGAATGTTTCAATAAGACTGCTAGCTTACTTTAACTGTTTGGAACTCCAAGCACAGATAAGACACATGGAAATTATTTTGCTTACGCATTTATCATGCAAACACATTTCTTTTTTATTGTGCTACGACGTCAGTGAGATCAAACATATGATCTTCTGTTCTCCATCCATGTTTTTTTAACTCATACAAATCTGTTCATTTTAGTCTATTTAAACTGACCCCATTTCAAAGGAAACAAGCACTCATTAAGATCAGGTGTGGCCAATTAGTGGGCGTGGCCAACACACCGGAACACACTTAACAAGATAGGAGGATAGAGAGAGTTTTGTTGATGCCGAGAACGGAATGTATGTGTTTTTCAATAACATTCTTAGAACGTTCTTTGAACCCAATTCTAATCTTATAAAACACTTTTATTAAAATTAAATGTTGCTAAAGGTTCATTTTAAGTGTTTTACGATTAGCCTAATTCAGTGCATCAACTTGTTTAAATAATGGAACACATTTGTACTTATAACACCGTTGACCTGCATCACATTAATTAATGTATACTTTCTGTCTGTTTTACATAGGTCATCTTTTGTTTTTATTCACACATAGGAAACCTTTTATGCATGGTATATCTCAGTTGACCAGAATCATATTCTGTTCTATTTTCTATTTCTTTATCATGTCGTTATGTTCTCCGTCTTTTTTATTTTATTTTAAACATAGAAACCTTTTATGCATGGCATAGTGTGTCTCCCCCACATCAGTAGAGAACCGGTTACTATAAACTGCACTACCTCTGTGGAGGCTTAAACTCATCCAATCTCGTTGCAAAATTAGCTTTCAGATTATGTAAAAACTCTGAAATCACAAGAGTGATCTGTACTGATGATGACTGAATATAGTTGCGCAGTGTAGGGAAATGGCGCGTTTTGTTTGGGCTCAAATCAGAGGAGAAAATAACATGTCAATAACTGTTTTAAACCTTCCCTGTAGTCCCAAATGAAATCCATTCAATCGATTGAAGAAAAAAATCATCAAACAAAATCATCAACATTTGTTTGATGATTTTTTCAATAATGTCCAGAATTGATCAAAAGGCCATTCTAAATTGATAAATGGGCCGGATCTGGCCCGCGGGCCGCCAGTTGAATAGCCCTGGATGGACTAGACCCTCAAATGGAGAAACATTCCTAACATGGAAGGCTGGACTGACAGAGGCCAATCATTGGGCAAATCTCACAGCAGCACATTTGTAGTGAGGCCTATAAGATTATCAATTCACCTCACCTTGCTGTGCATGTCATAATACAACAAGGCAACAGTAAACACGTTGTCCCCCCCGAATGATGCCCCCCCCCCCCCCCCCCGTGTAATTTTCTAAATGACAGATTTCTATGGCTAGACGCATCATTCACCCAGGTTTTGTCAAAATCGGGCCAGTGGTGTCTGAGATATTGTGTGTCCCTAATGTACGTACAGTTGATTATTATAGTGCCCCCCTTGGGCGAATTAGTGTAATCTTGTAAATGCCGGATCTCTATGGCAAGTTTTGTAGAAATTGGACCAGTGGTGTCTGAGACGTCACATCCCTGACAATCTGAAATGGTCCACCCACACAGAGAGTGTGGTGAAGAAGGCGCAACAGCGCCTCTTCAACCTCAGGAGGCTGAAGAAATGTGTCTTGGCCCCTAAGACCCTCACAAACTTTTACAGATGCACCATTAAGAGCATCCTGTCAGGCTGTATCACCTCCTGGTAAGGCAAATGCACCGTCCGCAACCGCAGGGCACTCCAGAGAGTGGTGCGGTCAGCCCAACGCATCATCGGGACCACACTGCCTGCCCTTCAGGACATCTACAGTACCCGCTGTCACAGGCAGGCCAAGAAGATCATCAAGGACCTCAGCCACCCGAGCCACGGCCTGTTCACCCCGCTATCATCCAGAAGGCGAGGTCAGTACAGGTGCATAAAAGCTTGGACCGAGAGACTGAAAAACAGCTTCTACCTCAAGGCCATCGCACTGTTAAATAGCCATCACTAGCCGGCGTCCACCCAGTACCCTGCCCTGAAATTAGTCACTGTCACTAGCCGGCTACCACCCGGTTACTCAACCCTGCACCTTAGAGGCTGCTGCCCTGTGTACATAGACATGGAACACTGGTCACTTTAATAATGGAACACTGGTCACTTTAATAATATTTACATACTGTTTTACCTATTTAATATGTACTGTATATATTGTATTCTAGTCTATCCTATTCAACTATTGCTGTACATATACTATTCTATCCACATATTCTTCAGATATACTATATATTCTATCCACATACTGTCAATACATCACATCACACACACATATATATATATATATATATATATATATATATATATATATATATATATATATATATATATATATATATATATATATATATATTTATATTCCGGACTCCTACATTGCTCGTCCTAATATTTCTATATTTCCATTCTTTCACTTTTAGATATGTGTGCATTTGTGTGTATTGTGTTGTTAGATATTACTGCACTGTTGGAGCTAGGAACACAAGCATTTCGCTACACCCACAATAACATCTGCTAAACATGTGTATGCGACCAATACAATTTTATTTTATTTGATATCGCGTGGGTTAGCTAGACTCATATTCCTGAGCATGTGTGCCAAATTTTATCACTCTGAGTCAAGCAGATCAAGAGATGTCAACATGTGTCCATTATAGTGCCATCGTGTGGTCGATATGAATGTTCTTGCATATGTTGAGTCTTGACCACAGGAGGTTGGTGGCAGCTTAATTAGGGAGAACATGGTAATGACTGGAGCGGAATCGTATTAAATACATGAAACACATGGTTTACAGGTGTTTGATGCCATTCCATTTGCTCTGTTACAGCCATTATTATGAGCTGTACTCCCCTCAGCAGCCTCCTTTGGCCTTGACAGTGTTTGCAACATGTGCACCAAATGTTGTTACAATACGAATATCCTTGACTGATTTAGGGGCCCGTGTAGCTCAGTTGGTAGAGCATGGCCAGGGTTGTGGGTTCGATTCCCACGGGGGGCCAGTATGAAAAGAATAATAACCATGTATGCACTCACTAACTGTAAGTCGCTCTGGATAAGAGCGTCTGCTAAATACTAGGTTTATTTGAACAGTGAGAGACAGAATAACAACAAAAAAATCCAGAAATACGCATGTCAAAAATGTTATAAATTGATTTGCATTTTAATAAGGGAAATAAGTATTTGACCCCCTCTCAATCAGAAAGATTTCTGGCTCCCAGTTGTATTTTATACAGGTAATGAGCTGTGATTAGGAGCACACTTTTAAAGGGAGTGCTCCTAATCTAAGCTTGTTACCTGTATAAAAGACACCTGTCCACAGAAGCAATCAATCAATCAGATTCCAAACTCTCCACCATGGCCAAGACCAAAGAGCTCTCCAAGGATGTCAGGGACAAGATTGTAGACCTACACAAGGCTGGAATGGGCTACAAGACCATTGCCAAGCACCTTGGTGAGAAGGTGACAACAGTTGGTGAGATTATTCGCAAATGGAAGAAACACAAAATAACTGTCAATCTCCCTCGGCCTGGGGCTCCATGTAAGCTCTCACCTCGTGAAGTTGCAATGATCATGAGCACGGTGAGGAATCAGCCCAGAACTACACAGGAGGATCTTGTCAATGATCTCAAGGCAGCTGGGACAATAGTCACCAAGAAAACAATTGGTAGCACACTACGCCGTGAAGGACTGAAATCCTGCAGCGCCCGCAAGGTCCCCCTGCTCAAGAAAGCACATATACAGGGCCGTCTGAAGTTTGCCAATGAACATCTGAATGATTCAGAGGAGAACTGGGTGAAAGTGTTGTGGTCAGATGAGACCAAAATGGAGCTCTTTGGCATGTACTGTCAAATCTTGGGTGAGAACCTCCTTCCCTCAGCCAGGGCATTGAAAATGGGTCGTGGATGGGTATTCCGGCATGACAATGACCCAAAACACACAGCCAAGGCAACAAAGGAGTGGCTCAAGAAGAAGCACATTAAGGTCCTGGAGTGGCCTAGCCAGTCTCCAGACCTTA